TTTATTTTTCCCCTGTTCAATGAGGCTCCTGGAGTCTCCTATTACCCTCCAGGTCAGGCTGAGTGACAGCATCTCTTTTGTTCAGGACCCAAAGTACCAGCACAGAAAGATCGTGCACGTTAACTCTGACAGGGGTTATAAATGTCAGCGCTAATTATTCCTCTAATAAAATATATTAAATAAATTCCGAACGGTTCTGGTGCTTCAGAGTATTTTCAGGTTGTTTGAATTCCTTATCGAGGGGCTTATTTTATTGCACTTGAATTTCTTGTTTTATTTAAACTCCCCTAACAAACAGCTTTCTGCTGTGGTCATAGAATCCCAGAACGGTTTGGATTGGAAAGGACCTTAAAGCCCACCTCATCCCACCCCCCTGCCGTGGGCAGGGACACCTTCCACTAGTCCAGGTTGCTCCAAGCCCCTTCCAGCCTGGCCTTGGAATGTTTTTTTAACTGTAGTAAAAATCCCGTGTGGGACACGTAACTCACACACGCGTGGGGCGAGTCCTGCTGGGGGCGGCTGCAGTTTCCTCCCCTCCCACCCTCAGGTTTGTCTCACGTGCACCAGGTCTTGACTAAACCGAATTTTCGGGCTGTGCTGTCTATTTTGAGCAATGTTCTCTGTAGTTTCTCTGGTGAGTTGTGTGCTTTTCACACACATTATGAAATGGGAAGGAACGCATTTAAAAAAAAAAAAAGAACCCACCACGCTGTTGCTGAAACTATTTGATTTTTGCCTATTTTTAGCAGAAATTTTTCTCTTATCATTGTCTCCAGCTCTTGCTGGAGCAGCAGCGTTCTGAGAAGCCACACGTTTTTGGGTAGGAAGGTCAAGACAATTTGTCCCAGCACTGTGATCACCCTTATCTGGTGTTGGGCATCGCTGTGAGACAGTTTGGGTTTCCAAGAACTGAACTTTCCCCGTGGACAGTCCTTTTTCTTCTCTCTCTGAAAGACTAAACCACTGGGCACGAGCTATGGCACGAGCCATAAATCATTTTTCCAGGCTTGGAAGCAGAGATAAGTTAGATTTTCTGTCACAGAATCACAGACTGGTTTGGGTTGGAAGGGACCTTAAAGACCCTCTCCTTCCACCAGGACACCTCCCACTATCCCAGGTCGCTCCAAGCCCTGTCCAACCTGGCCTTGGACACTTCCAGGGATCCAGGGGCAGCCACAGCTTCTCTGGGCAACCTGTGCCAGGGCCTCCCCACCCTCACAGGGAACTATTTATTCCTAATTTCTAATTAACTTTGCCCTTCTTCAGGTATGGTCACTACACTTATTTGTGTGCCTAAATAAGAGACACTGGAGGAGCTGACAGGTAGGAGAGGGTGACAGACAAGTATCTCAACATTCCTGTTTCTTTTGAGAGGAGATGTTTTGCTAAAGCCTCTTCCAGCATTCCCAGGAGGTCCAGATCCTCCTCTGGCAGGTGAAGGGGATGTGGTTGGTGGAAGGTCAACCTGTGGTTGCAAGTGTCCCCAGTGGGGCAAAGCCTTTTTGCTTCTCTGGGAGTATTTAACTCCCTTTTCTTCAGGTTGCTTCCTGTTGCCAAAGCTTTCTTGTCTGGAGGATGTTCTTAAACTTAAAAATGCTTAAATATAAATACATATTTTCTGGTGAGATTTTCAACTCTGAAATCTCTCTCTGGGATCGTATCTGAGTTTTGTTGTGGTTTCCTTATTTCTGTAGCGTCAAACACCTTCTCTACACCAGACTTGTGAAGAGCCTGCTTTTTACAGGCTGTCTGGCATCAAAACCTTCAGCCTGTACCAAAGAAAACCCCCAAATGCAGTATTTACAAGTGTGGCAGCTCAGAGCAGGAGGTGAGCAGCATCACTTGAGTGCTCCTACAAGAGCAGAGCATCCTCCTCCAGCATCCAGGGAGCTCCCGAGGCACCTGCAGGCTCGGCAGAATTGCCTTGTGGGATAGTGAAGGAAGAAAAATTGAATTTAAATAGAAACCTGCTTGTGGTTTGGCTGTGGGTTGTGCTTTCTCCAAAGGATGGGTTGAGGAGCAGTGGTGTGGGAACTTTGCTCTTCGTGTCAGCTCTGCTGCGGGCTGGGATGGAAACAAAACAAGTGCAGCCAAGGTGCTTTTTGTCTTGGAAAATCACAGAATCACAGCCTGGTTTGGCTTGGAAGGCACCTTAAAGACCATCTCCTTTCCCCCCTTTGCCCTGGGCAGCCTCTCAGTTATGTTATTTGCTTGCTGATCTCTTTACTTTTGACGGGGAGCGTAGGGAAAACCATTTCTGAGCATAAAACTCGCAGGGGAGGGATCCAGCCGTGAGCCTGGGTCGGAGCAGCTCAAGTCTTGCAGCAGGAGGTTTGCTGCACCCAGTGAGTTATTGGTGCTGGCAGCTATGAAATGTTTATTGGGAAGGGCAGGGCTCCTACGTGCCCATCTCCGCATCCCCAGCCCTGCCGAGGGGATCTGGCTGAGCTGCAGCCTGGAATCCCAAGGGATGGAGGAAAGACAAAGAGATGTTTAAGACAAGGAGATGTTTTTCTCATTGCCAGCGAGACCCACCTTCCTACGTCGAGAAAGGTCCGGGACTGCGGCTCTGAAATGTAAACAAGTAAACAATCCTTGTTCCAGAATTTAAGGAGAGAAACGTACATCCAGAGGAAATGTTCCTTTGTGGACCGTCCCTCTGGTTTCCTGTGGCTGATAAGAGCTGCTCCTCAGCTGTGCCCTCCCCACCGTCCTCATCTCCAAAGCCCTGGTTCTGCCTTTCTAGTCTGAGGAGCGACGCGCGCCCGACGTTGTGTGTTTTGATAACGATTCCTACAAATGTGTTTATTCAAAACAAACACAGTGGGAAGCAACTACAAAGCAGGCTGCTCTGGCAGCTGGTGCCAGAGGGAGCTCGCTGTCGGCGTGTGATCCTGGTGGGACAGGCTTGCAGAGCATCCATCCCGATCCGTGTGTGCCAGGACATTGGGAGCTCTGCCCTGGGAGTTGACCGTGGCGAGTCTGTCTTGTGTCGTGGGCTTGGAGTGATGGGTTTTTTGATAGTTCTTGCCCCTTCCACTGCCTTGTGGCGTCTCCAGGAGTCTTTGGAGAGCTGTTGAGAGCAGGAATTGGCTGCATGGTGGCTGGAGGGACTCTGCAGAGTGTTGCTAACAGGGCTAGCAGCATCTCTGGCAGTGGACTGTGGGAGAAGTGAAGAGGTTTCATAGCATAGATGAGTGTTCTGAGTTGGAAGGGATGCCCAAGGATCATCCAGTCCAACCCCTGGCCCTGCCCAGAATACCCCAACAATCCCACCCTGGCCCTCAGAGCGTTGTCCAAACCCTCCTGCAGCTCTGGCAGCCTTGGGGCTGTGCCCACTGCCCTGGGGAGCCTGGGCAGTGCCCAACCAGCCTCTGGGGGAAAAATCCTTTCCTGAGATCCAACCTGACCCTCCCCTGACACAGTTTCAAAGGATCCAGAGTGCCTGTTCTAAATCTGACACTTCTCCAATGGAAGCACAGACCCAGTGGGTTCCATCCCTGCTTTTCCAAAAGCCCTCCCTGAAAAGAAATAAAATCACCAAAACCTCAAACCAAACCTTGTAACCTCAGGAAATTTGCATTGCTGGAGGAACAAACTCAGGGAAGATCTCTGATGCTGCCCTGGTTTAACCACAGCGTTAGGAATAATATCAAGTGTTTGCATTAAATGCAAGGGAAGAGTCCTTTGGAGAGCTGGGGGGGCTTTTCTCCTTCCAGCACTCTGGTTCTTTTGGTAATCAGCATGAGTCAAATTAAAACTGATGAATGCAATAATACGTAGGAGGGTGACATCTTGAAACGTTTCCTAATTTTGGGTCTGTATTTGGAGCAAGTGTTTGTGCGCCGAGGCTCGGGCTGGGGATTGGGGCATATTGGATTATATGCTATTTGCTCAGTGTAAGCAGTGGCAATTTATTGCTGCAGATACATGTGATGCAACGCACAAAGATTAGTTCTATCCCCTCTAAAGCATGATTATTTTGGGTCCTCTTTATACCCTAAATAGATATTCTTCTCATGTGATTTCCATCTTTTTGTGTCAACAGCCCAGGCTAAAGTTGAAATAAACATTGCATCAGTTTGACAGCACAGGCTCTGAGGAAATCTGCTCTGCATTTTATGGGTGTCGTTTGGAAACCTTTTCGTTCTACGTTTTTGCTGTGTGCAATCCAAAGATTCCATGAATCCCAAAGCCTGCTCTGCTCCACTGGACTGGTCTTGTGCAGATCAACATAGTTGATCAGCACCAATGAGTCCTGTCCCCATCAGTGTGGTGTGATGTGGTGTGTTTAGATCACAGAATCTCAGACTGGTTTGGGTTGGAAGGGACCTTAAAGCCCATCTTGTTCCACCCCCCTGCCAAGGGCAGGAACACCTTCCACTAGCCCAGGTTGCTCCAAGCCCTGTCCAACCTGGCCTTGGACACTTCCAGGGATCCAGGGGCAGCCACAGCTTCTCTGGGCAACCTGTGCCAGGGCCTCTCCACCCTCACAGGGAGGAATTATATCCCATCCAGCCTTGCCTTGTGGCAGTGGGAAGCCATTCCCCCTTGTCCTGTCCCTCCAGCCCTTGTCCCAAGTCCCTCTCCAGCACTCTTGGAGCCCCTTTAGGCACTGGAAGGGGCTCCAAGGTCTCTCCAGAGCCTTTTCTTCAGGCTGAACAGCCCCAACTCTCTCAGCATTGTCCAAAGAACGGGGGGCAAACATCAACAGAGATGTTTCTATCAAAGCAAACCACAGCAAAAGGAGTGGTTTTGCTCTTGGTGACTCTGTAGGCTGGAGTTGGCAGGGATTCAATCCTCGTACAGGTCATTCACTGAAGGGTTGGACTCGATCCTTGTGGGTCCCTTCCAACTCAGAACGTTCTGTGATTCTGTGGCAGGCTGGTGTGACTGGTGAACGTGGCGTGTCTGTGCTCGTGGCTTGGCTTGAGCAGCTCAACCAGGCTTGAATGTTGGAAACCACCTCTGGATTGAGCCCTCCTGCTCCTCTCTTACAGCACCACCATGACAACAGAGAAGAGCCCAGCGGCGGACGCCGACAGCTCGGACCAGCAGCAAGCCAAGGAGGAGGAAGGAGCTGCTGAAGCACAGAAACAGGAGGCTTCTCTGGAGGAAGGGGCTCAGCCTACGTCAGAGGGGCAGGGGCAGAAGCAGAAGGCCTCCAACGGAGACACCCCCACGCACGAGGAGCAGAGCAAGAAGGAACGTCGCACCTCCGAGGGCCGGGGCCTGTCCCGCCTCTTCTCCTCCTTCCTCAGGAGGCCCAAGTCTCAGGTGTCTGAAGAGGAAAAAGACACTGATGCTCCTAAAGAGGCAGGAGGTGACCAGAAAGGCGCAGGATTAGGAGCCAGCCCTGATGAAGACATCCTGGTGAAAGCGCCGATCGCAGCTCCTGAGCCCGAGCTCAAAACCGACCCGTCACTGGATCTCCATTCCTTGAGCAGTGCAGAAACACAGGTAAAAAAACACCCCATCCTGTGGGATGGGCTCCCTGCTGTCCTAAAAATGTGTCTTTGTAGCCAAAAACTTCATATCCCAGGCTGGTGAGCTTGACCAGAACAGCTGGTGAGGTGTCAGCTCCCTGTGTTGCATCGTGTACTTCCCACTCTTCTCCCTGCATCGCTGTGTCCTGCCAAGTACCTGCCCTGGGAATTGTGCTCGACGCTTCCCAGCATAACTTAAAGTGCCCTGTGGCGAGTCCTTGCTCTGCTGAGGTTGGGATGTCACCTCAGAACGAGGGTTCACATTCAGAGGGTCCAAAACCAGTTGGGATCTCCTTGGTGTGAGCAGGATAAGGGCAGGTCAGTGGCCTGAGGTGGAGGACTTGGATTTAGGGAAGGGTTTCTTCAGCTTCAAGGAGCGCAAGCCCAGCATTTCAGGACTTGGTCATCTGCTCAGTCTGGGCTGGTGCTGAGCCTGCCAAATACAAACATTTTCTGCTTATGCATCATGTAGACAGGGATTTCTGCAGGCTGGTGGGCTGAGCCCAGCTCCTGGTAGCTGTCTGGTGTCTGCTCTTCCCAGCCAGGGTCATTTTTTGTGCAAAATATGTGAAGTTTTAAAATTTAAAGTAGAAATTGAGGCAGACACAGCCACAGGGAACATTCACAGAGCTGCAGCTGGTTGTTGGTTTGGGGGTATTGGGTGCCCTCTCTTACTCCTTGGGTGATGGCAGCTCTGCTGTTACTTGTGCCTGGACTTGGAGAAGGGTGTCCTTTTTCCTCAGCTGGGGATTTCTTGCAACCCAGCGAACCTGGATGTGTTGCTGGAGTCACAGAATGTGCAGGGTGAAATTTGGATTTCTTACCCACTGCCTTCGTTCTGAGTGGCTCCAGAGCACTGTCAGGTACCCACAAACACTGGGATTCAGAGCAATACAAGTTCCAGCATTGCCAGTAGGCAATAACTGTAAATCCACCTCCTTTAAATTACAAAGCTGTAGAGAAGGTAGGTGACACATTTTTCTTTCTTTTCCCAAATTTCTGAGCCTGTGAAAACCAGGGGATGGTCTCTGCTCATGTTCTGTACCTCTGAGGGTTGGGAATAGCAGGATGGGAAGGAGCTGGAAATTTTCTTGCAATTTCAACCCAGAAGTTGTATTTTCAAGAGCGAATCATCGCTGGAAGCGTTTAAAGTCAGATTGGACAGAGCTTGGAGCAACCTGGTCTAGTGGAAGGCGTCCCTGCCTGTGGCAGGGGGTAGAACTGGATGAGCTATAAGGTTCCTCCCAGCCCAACCCATTCTGGGATTCTAAAATACATGATTTCTTCCTCAGTTTAACTTTGATTTAGTGCTTCTGAGCACACGTGAGCGTTCACCCCAACCTTCCTTCACGGGCTGTTCGCTTCAGACGGAGCGTTTGTGCCTTTTTTTTTTTTTTTTCCCCCCAGTTCTTATTTTAGATCCCAGTCAGTGGCTTTCTGAACTGTGACACTCTGCAGATATTTCTGCTGTGACAGCAGTTGTGAGGTGCTGCAGTTTGATAAATGCTGACCGACGGGCATTAGGAGCTTTGACTGATTCCCTGCTCCCGATTGTCCCAGTTCTGCTGGAACAGAAGTCAGCAGCTTGTGGACATTATTTAGTTTTTAAATACCTCCGTGCACTTGTGCCTGGGTGTGATTTCATGAGATGTGATGGCTTGAACAGACAAGGTTTTGCTCTTCCCCTGCTGCAGCTGTGCTCCTGCTGCATCCAGCCCTTCCAGTGCTCGTCAGAGCCTCCCGTGAACTCGGTTAACCTGCTGAAATGGCAGAGGGGAAAAAAAAAAAGGCTTCCTTCCTCCTCCTGCCCCCAAACTGCATCTCTTTCTGCTATTTCAGTGGATTAAACTGGCTCACAAAGTGCTTCTGTAGGCAGAGGGACAGTGGTGTGAGGGCTGCCTTCCCTTTTTGGTGGCAGAGAGCTGCTTGGTCAGCTCAGATGGCTGTGAAATCCTAGCCCTGACCACCCCTTTTAGTGCCACTGCTGCCATAGAGTCATGGAGTGTTTTGGGTTGGAATGGGCAGGGACACCTTCCACCAGCCCAGGTTGCTCCAAGCCCTGTCCAACCTGGCCTTGAACAATTCCAGGGATGGGGCCACAGCTTCTCTGGGCAACCTGTGCCAGGGGCTCCCCACCCTCACAGAGAAGGATTTCTCCCCAATATCCCATCTAAATCTCTCCTCTTTCAGTTTAAAACTATTCCCCTTGCCATGTAGAGGGTGGGTGCACTGGAACAGAGCCCATGGCCCAGGTTGGTACTGGGAGCACTGAGTGTCTTTCCTGGGAGGCAAAAACCTTCCCAGTCCAAAAGGTGCTGTCATTAACACCACGAAGATTTGCAGGATATAATCTGCCTTGATTTTTCTAATCAACCCTTATTTCTTTTTTATTACATCCTTTATTAAATGAAGACTTGAAAATGACTTGGAAGGGCTTTAAAAATTAATATCATTCCCTTGCTCACCCCAGCTGCTGCTCCAGGTCCTCGGTTGCAGGTTGAAGTCAGATAATGAATTTTGGGTGAGGCCCCAGCCCTGCAGTGCTTATTTAGTGTGATGCTTTGTTTGCTTGTTTGACACCTCTAAATTGGGGTGTTGGGGGGGTTTCAGCCTGCACAGGAGGAGAGGAGGGACGAGCAGGAGCCAGAAGGCAAAGACCCTGAGGACAAGGAAGAAGGAGAAGCCAAGGAAGAGTGTGCCAAGCCGGAGCCTAAACCAGAGACTCCGGAGACCAAAGCAGACAAGGATTTGAAAGCTGCCCAGAAAGCAGTGAAAAGACACAGAAACATGTACTGCAAAGTGGTCTTGCTGGATGACACCATTTTTGAGTGTGCTGTGGATGTAAGTACTTGTGGGGTTTGGTTCTGCTTCTCCTCTCTCCTGTCTCCCTTCTGCTCCTCTCGAAAAATCACCACAAACACGATTTAATAGGGGCCTAATGTGCTGCCAGGGAATTACATGACAGGCTTTACTGCAGAACAAGCCTGCTGTAAGCTATAACAACTTATTTAGTGTGTTGTAAAAGCCTCTGGGTACTAGGAATCTTTATTTTTTATTGTTCTACAATTCCAGGGTGTCATGCTTTATAAAGGTAGGAAGGATTTAAAAAAAAAAAACAAAGAAACCCAAACTTTATCTCACTTGCTGTTCATCATCTTTGTCATTTGTATCCCAGATCAGAGTTTAGGTTTTTGGGATAAGTTGGGACGGTCTAAATATCTTTTGCCCCCTCTCCTTTGAGAAAAATGGGCTGCCAAATTGATTTGTGCTTTTCTAGTTCCCCAAGGTCCCTTCACCTCCCAGGCTGCTGGTGCTTGGATATAAAGAAAAACACGCTGTGTTTAGCCTGCAGTTGAATATATTTGCAGTAAACAATTTAGAAATTATTATGTTGACTTAGAGCACTGCAAACCCCTTCATCTGAGAGCTTTTCTTCTGCTTTCTTCTGTGCATTCTCTCTCAGGGATGTGGTGCTGTCAGGGCAATAAAAAGCGAGCAGAAATCCCTATTTTAGTATTGAAGTACTTGTCTGGAATATTAATAATGTGGTACTTACCACTGGAGCATAGTTCCACCAGCTTGTTTTCCCTCAGTCCTGCTGGTAAATGGGCCAGGAGAGGGTATCTGGGCACAGGATTCCTTGTGGGAACAGTCACCTTGGGTGATCCTGGGCAAGTAGGTCAGTGCCGGGTGTTTGTGTAACGGTGCTGCTGGCATTGCCTGGGATCAGCTCGGAGCATCCTGCCCCAAACTCCTTCCCCTGGGCCAGGGATGTTGTGTGCAGCCCCCCAAAAGGGAACTGTTCCCCTAAATCCTGATGACAGCTTGCCATGGTGTATCCATGATGCCTTTGGATACTGGCACAGGCATTGCTGGTGGGGGGGGGAGCCCTGACTTGAGCAGGACGTGAGAAATCTCTCTGTAGGTCCAGAGGATTGTGGTGGGCACTGCAGAGGGGATTAGGAGGGGCCACTGTGTCAGTGAGACCCTCTTAACTTGGCAGGCACCCTGGGCTTTAACACCCCTGTAATCCTACTCTGGTGTTTTGAGAGTTTATTAAGATTTAATTGGGAAGGAATTGCAAAGGTGTAGGCAAAGAGCAGCACAAATGCCTTTATCCAAGGAGAATTAGTGCTTTCAGGCATCCTTTCCAACTGACAGCCCTGGAAGGTTTTTCATTCCTAGATCACTGCCAATTCCTTGAGGGATACCCAGGCTAACACATACATTATGTTACCTATAGAGTCACAACGTGTGCACAAAGGACCTGACAGCTGAAAGGCTGGAATAAAGCCAAGGAATAAAACCAGGCAGGGGTCTTGGAGCAGTTGCCATGCAGAGATGAGTGACAGGAGAGCTGTGGGCACCAGCAAGGCATTAGTGAAGCTGATTCTGCGTCACTGGAACGGCACTTTCTTCTAACAAAGCCTCCAATGGAATGAGCTGCTCCTGGTTGCCATAGTTTTATGCCTCAGGGATGTTTTCCTTCATGCTTTTGGACTAAAAGGGTATCTTGTTCCTAGGGCCAGTTCACTTCTGCAGGATTTGGGGGGGGGTGGGGGGGAGAGGAAATAGGAATGCTCAGAGTGTGTTTCTGGAGGCAAGAAGTGCTGAGCAGCTCTGGGTGCAGGAGGCAAACAGGAGAAGGTGGTTTTCATCAGCAGATCGGGGTGATGGAAAGGCCACAAGAAATTATGGGCTGTGGGTCCGAGCTGCTGGTTTTTTTCTGAACCTAAAAAAAGTCAGATTGTCCCCAAAATGAACAACTGTAGCAGTGGGTCGTAGCAGCAGGTTCATCTTTTGATCCACACCTGGTTGTCTGACAGCCTGGATCCGGGAGATATTGGGGCTCTGAATGTACCTTGGCAGGGAAAAGCTGTACAGATCCTTGGTGTTTACTGAGCTCCTGATGGGAAGTTCAGCTTTGGGGTCCTTCAGACAGGGAGCTGGTCAGAAGAGAGAGACCCACTGCATTCCTGTTGCCTCTCCATTGAATTCTTATGCCTGATGCTCTTTCCCATAAGGAGTCCTTGCTCTGAAACAGCCAGGAATTGTGATTTGGAGCTACTCAGGGCTTACAGTGTGGTTTGGTGCCATTCCCTTCCTCCCCTCTGCTGTGAGTGAGAACAGGCAAAACCCAGCCTGTCCAACAGGATTTCTTCTTCTATTTGCAGAAACATGCCAAGGGACAGGAGCTCCTTAAAAAAGTCTGTGACCACCTCAATCTGCTGGAAGAAGACTACTTTGGTTTGGCCATATGGGACACACCAACCTCCAGGGTAAGCAGCTGCTGTTCTGGGGTGGTCTGGCCCCGGGGGGATTCAGCTCTTCCATAGGATCATCTTCCCAGGGCAGGAGGGAAAAGCCTCCTCTTAAAACTGCTTTTGATGTCCTCCCTAAAGATGGGTTGGGGGTCATCACAGAGGCAGAAATGGTGAAAAAGTGAGTACAGGAGTGTGGGTTTTAGTAAAAAGGCTGCATGAATCACAGAATGATGGAATCCTTGTGAACTTGGGTCTTCACCTGGAGAAAATTTGTTATATTAGTTTGCTGCAAATTAAGTTGTTTTCTGCCATTAAGTTGTAGAACTCCAGCTGAAGAAGTCAGGCTGCCCTGGCACTGGTGTCAGCATTGGGAAGGTTTGGTTAGAGCCTCCCAGAGCAGTTTGGAGTTGAGGCTTTGCCCTGCAGAACACCAATGACTCCATACCAAAACTCCTACTCATGGTTTCAGTTTAAGGCCTTTGTTTGGTTTGACTCGGGCGGTGTCTTATCTTTTAAACCCCTTGGTTACCCTTTAACTCAACAATTACTCAAGGTTTGTTTCACAAAGCCAAAAGCTAAATTGAAATGAAGGGCCCAGTTCTGTGTCCTTTAGCCCAGTTCTGTTGGTCCATATTCTGAATATTCCACTGCTTCACCTGCACTATTCACCCTTGGCAGGTTGTGGGGCTGACAGACATTTGCCATTAAATACTTTATGATGTTTAATCCACAGGCAAAATAACACCCTGTCACTGTTTGAGGCAGGCAGAGCTCCCACTCGGGTTTGTTTTACTGTCTCTGGTGTCTTGCTATCTTCCTGTATGTGAAATCTGTTTCCATGTATAAAGCCTGGATACTTTTTACCCTGGGAGTTTGTTCTTGCAGAGGGAAGGGTAGGTGTACTTTTATATCCAATTAAGAGCAAAAAGAGTCCTTGAAAGTGTTCAAAAAGCATGTAGGTGTGCTTAGGGACGTGGGTTAGTGGCAGTACTGGGTTAATGGTTGGGCTTGATCTTAAAGGGCTTTTCCGACCTTAATTATTCCACGATCTCCCAGAGCCCTGGGCTTGCTCTTCACCTGTCCAGGCTTTCAGCATCAACTCTTCCAGAAGCAGAAGCACCTCCTTCCTCCAGCTAACAAGGGCTGAGAGGTTGTGGAGCTTTTTAACTGTAGGGGCTGAAAACAGATTGTTTTGTCACATCTGTGTCCCAGAGCCAAGAGCTGAGGAAGGTGAAGCCTCTGTCCACGGGTTGTTCAGCTCCAGTGTGGAGCAACCTGGTATGGTTTGTTCTGATGGGGAAAAACACCATTTTTGGAGGGTTTTTTGGGAATCTTTCTGGTTGTGTTTCATTGAACTTTGAAGTCTGAGGCTCCATCTCTCTCCTGCCCTAACTTCAAACGAGACCCCACACGGAGTTACTGATTCACAGGAAGAAATGATGTTAACAGGAATCCAAGGATGAGCTCCTGCACCTCACCTGCAGCTGTGTGGGGCAGGCAGAGCTACATGTGTGTATTCCTGGCCAGGGAAGGCTTGCATGTGGCATTTTCCACCTTGATATACAGGGGATAAACCTTCTGGGGAGGGATATTTACCCCCATGGGCGTGGCCGAGGGTGACAGCGGGATTAGGAGGTTGTGACAGCAGCTGGAGCAGCAAGGAGCTCATTGCTCTGAAAGGGAGGATTGTTTCCCTCTGATTCATGACCCAATGGGATAAAAGTGGTGTTAATTGCTGTTCCCATCATTGTCTGCTGGCTCAGGCGGGGTGGGATGCATGACTGCACCCTGGGCTGCCCAACCCAGGAATGAGCAGCCGTGGCACCACCCCGGGCCATGGAGATGCTCAGCTTAAAGCTGTGCCCCTAAAAAGGGCAGCAAGTGGCCCATCTGCCTTCCCCAAAATGGATTTTTTTACCCCCATTTTATAGGTTAGAGGGACAGGCACATAAAAAGAGGAGATTAAATGTAAGTATGGCTGTCTCCCTGCCACGAAGTTACGTGTCCTGCTGGTCGGGAGAGATTAGCTCGGGGGATTCAATGAGTTAATTCCTTCACCTCGGGAGACCTGGACGTCTAAATCCTTCTCAGGGCTGGTGAAAATGAAGAAGGTGGTTAAATGTAGCCTCTCCAGGAGGGTCATTAACCCTGTGCCATCCCCTGCAGTGGGGCAGACCCTGACCTCTCCAAAGGGAAAGGCTCAGACCATGGAAAAAGCAGGAGTTGTTTTTTGTGGTTTATATTGCACCATCATCCCACAAAACCCCAAATTACAGAGGGGAGAGGAAAAAAGGATACATTTCTAAATCTGTAGCGGAGATAATTAGAAGAAACTTGAGTCATAGTTAAAAGAAATGAAGTTTATGTCACACTCCTGTGAAAGATTCCAGCCTTCTGTGGTAATTGGGTGTTTTCACTCATATTTCAGTGATTAGGTCGTTAAAACCCAGAGCTAATAATAGAAAGTCTTGGTGATCTTTGATCTGAGTCGGCTAAGTGAGGAGACAGGGTGCTTAAAATGAATGTAAACATCCTATTTGCCTATATTTAAGGGTTGTGGAGGAAAAAAAAGGTGTTGTAGAAGTGCCCCTTGTAGCTGGATGTGGCTGTGACCTGGCTGTACCTGCAGCCCCGATATCCTGCCTTTTTTTTTCCCCCCTCCTGTTCCTCCTGCCTCCCCTGTGAGTACCTGGTAGATGAATGATTGGAAATACACCCCCGAGACCACAGCCTGGAGTAAAAGTAGTGAAAAATGCACTGTCTCTCCAGTTTCCATGGCTGCCTGAGTGTCAAATATTGTCTTTTTTCGCCATATTTTTAGCAATTTGCAGCTTTCTGTGGCGTTTCTGGAATGTCTGTTAAACTGTGAATGTTTTTATCCTCTTACAGACGTGGCTGGATCCTGCCAAAGAAATAAAAAAGCAGGTTCATGGTAAGTAGATTGAATTTATCATCTGGAGGGGGGAGTGGTTTCTCCCTTCTTCCTCAAATAACATGGCCTTGGAGGGGGCCCAGGGATGGGGAGAGGTCAAGTGAGGGTGGCTGGCAGGGATCAGCACAAGTTCAGGCAGTCTCTACGTCCTTTCTCTCCTTCTTAAGGACTTAGGGATGCTCTGGATTTAGGGAAAAATGTCATTTCCTTGGCAAAACATGGCTTGGGGCGTGTTTGCCTGAAGCAAAGCAACACTGGCTCTGCAGGGCTGGAATGGGAGATGGCTCCTTGTTGGAGGATGGGAAAATGGGTGTCAGTGGGAACCACTGAACTCCCGAAGGAGACTGGGAGAGCCTGAGCAGAACTGTGTGCTGGAGCAGGGTCTGATGGACTCTGAGGCTGTTTTGGGGTCCAAATAGGGGCACTGGAATGATAAATGGCTCAAGTAGCATCCCCAGATGCTCTCCAGAGTGGCATTTTAAGGTCTGCTACCACTGAATTACTTCAAGACGAGGGCAGTGTTAAAATTAAATAAACATCTCAGAGGCTTTTGTTTTCTCTTGGGGGCAAGTCCGGCTGCTTTGGAAGTAAAATACTGGGTTTGGGAAGTAAACTACTGGATTTTGGATGTAAAGCCACCGGTGTTTTGGAAGTAAAATGCTGGGTTTGGGAAGTACAGTGCTGTTTTATGAGAGTAAAATACTGTTTCACGGATGCTTTTGGTGGGAGGCACAGGACAAAGTGTGTCACTAAGTCCAGGTTAGGGGGGAAATACCACAGGGCTGTGGAGCAGGGAAAGCTCCTGGTCTTACCAGCTTCTCTTGGGATCAATAGCAAAATGTGTTTGAAGGGCAGGAGCTGCTCCATCCATAAAATTCATCTAGTAAATGTGATGAGCAGCAACCTCTTATGGAATCTGATCCCCTGAGATGGGTTAAATGACAGATTATTAGATTTTTGCTTGAAAATAGGTTGAATGCGGGTATGAATATGTGTACCCTGATATGGGTTGCTTTAGATAACCTCTGCTCCCTAAAATGACCTCCTGGAATCGCTTGGTTTGAACTGTGTGTGATGAAAACAACATGCCTTGGGTTTAATCCCAGTTATGGTGTTGCATAAGAAGTAAATCCAGGGATGCTCCGTCCCCCCTCTTCCCTGTGTGAGATCGGGATAAACCTCTGGGTGAAGTGCAGGGGCAGATCTTCTCTTTCTGAAAGAAATCTTATTTTGAGCTGGTGTTAAAGGGCCACAGCAGGGGGGAGATGTAACTATGAAAATCACCCGGTCAGGACTATTTTCTGCTGGGAAATGTGATTATTTTCAAGGAAAAGAGAGAGTAACCCCTTCAGCTGTGGTACCTAGGCTGACCAGACCACTTATAATGCCAGTTCTAGTGTGATTATGTGGATTCTCACTCCACTTAATGCCTGTAATGGTGCTGCACGAGGTTTGCAACAAACATTATTTTAACCATTAAGTGTTATTTTAGACATTAAGTGTTAAACATTTAGGTCTGGACTTGTAAAGCTCTTCCTACCCTGGTGCTTGCTGGCTTCACCCTAAGATTGATGCTTGTGTTGGGCTGAGTTTAACCTGTGTCTGACCACCTGACCCCAGTGCATTAGGCTGAGAAGTGACTTAGCACATCCCCTCCTGAAATTTGAAAATTAGCTTGAGTGATAAACCAGTCCTAATTCGTTAACTTACAGCCCACCCCTGCCCTCTCTTCATGAATCCCTTTTCAAGCAATGAAAGAACATGGGAGTCTTTGAGCTTCTTAGCAGTGAATTTAATATTTGCCACGAGTAGTGGTTTATTTATGTGTATTTCCCTGTCCTACTTCTTTTTCTCCTGCTTGTATCCTACCTCCTATAAATAAAACCATACCTTATACAGATGTTAAGCTGCATCCAGCTGTGAGAGTGAGCAGTATAAAATCAGTGTTACATCTGCTGGGTGAATGTTGAAGATCAGGTTGGATATTCCCAGCTTTTTTAATAACAACTGACTGTCACAAAGCTGTCCTGGTGTGTTGGCTTTTCTCTACCTCTCCTTTGTCATTGCAGGAGGCCCCTGGGATTTTACCTTCAATGTCAAGTTTTATCCTCCAGATCCTGCCCAGCTGACAGAGGATATAACCAGGTGAGTTCCCTGGGAATCTGCTGCCAGCCAGGAGCTCGCTGAGCAGAGCAGTGAATATGGAATAGAAATGTTTAATATTTAACTCCTTCAGTGAGGAGATCAAATGTCTTCCCCACTTGGTTTGTTCTCAGTGGATGTGTGGATGCTCCTGCTCTCCACTGGAGTCCACTTGGGTAAAGCAATGTCATGTACAACCCTGGCATGGGTGTGTTTGTAGAGGAAAGTACGTTTTTATCTAAACCCAAGATTTTCTGGTCCCTTTGCAGAGTGGAGGTGACCTTAAATCCCCCAGACCTTCACACTGTTTACCTTGGGAATGAGTAAAAACACAGGTAGAACTTGGGAACGAGCGCCGTGCTCGTTCATCAGGGGCATAAAAAAAAAAAAGAGACTGGTCCTCAAGTTAATAAATTTCTCTGTGATCAATATTTTCCTTTGTGCCCCCAGGTATTACCTGTGTCTTCAGCTCAGACAGGACATCCTCACGGGGCGGCTGCCCTGCTCCTTTGCAACCCTGGCCCTGCTGGGCTCCTACACGGTCCAGTCGGAGCTGGGGGACTATGATCCCGAGCTCCACGGCCCAGATTACATCACTGAGTTCAAACTGGCCCCAAACCAGACAAAAGAGCTCGAAGAGAAGGTTGTGGAGCTTCATAAAACATACAGGTAAGGTGTGGTGGCTGCAGGGGCTTGTTTGTGCACAGCAGCCTGAAATAAGGGCAATAATGGGGCTTTCGGGTGTTTCCCCCACCTTTGTGGTGTGTTTTTGGTTTCCTGCTGCACCAATTTTATGTTGGCAACAGAAGCTTTAGCAGTAAGGTGTGAACTGGCAGCTCCTGAGAACGTTGCAGGTACTGAGCTACAGAGAACCTGTGGCTGCTCCATCCCTGGAAGTGTCCAAGGCCAGATTGGATCAACCTGGGATAGTGGAAGGTGTCCCTGCCCATGGCAGGGGATTGGAACTGGTTGATCTTTGAGTTCTCTTCATATCCAAACCATTCTGTGACTCTGTGATGATTCTATGAACATCAGCTTTTAAAAAAATTTCTAATACTTCTGAAAAAAATCTTTCTAGAAGCTGGAATTCTTTTTTTCAGGCATGGAAGAAAGTCTTGAAATTATTTATAAACAAGTGCTTTTTTTTTCAACAGAACAGGGGTTTAGTTCATGCGAAAATCCAAAATTTACTTGTTTTAACCTTGCCCTTCGTTTAGGATTCATGTAATTTTGGGTTGTAGTCAGCTCCTGCCTCTCTGTGTATACACAGTACACTACAGCATGTTGAGGGTTTTCTGCTGCCACGGTTCACTTCCTAACGTGGAAGGATTCCAGGTGATCCAAGAGTTACAAACCTGCAGTTAAAGTGTTCCCCATGACCTGGGCAGGTGTGCAGTGTTCAGGGAGGGTTGAACAACTGGGAGTCCCCCTGATACCACACTGGCAGTAACCAAACCTGTTATTCATCTTTTTTTGAGCTCGTTTTCCTGGATGCTCTCGAGGGTTTGGCCGCAGGAGCTGTGGGGAGGGGCAGCAGCTTCTGTGTCCTCGCAGGGATACACTGGGATTTTAGAGGGGAAAACCCCCCAAATCCATAACACCACTTGGTGGTACTTTCAACCAGCAGCCCCTTGCCCTGTGAAAAGCTGCTGGTTGATGCCCTGACGAGAACAGAGCAAAGACAAGACCTTCTCAGAGGCAGAGGGGAACTAATAACTGGAGTGCAGTGGGAAGGGTGGACATGGGCTCCTGGCTGTGGCCAGAGCTACAATTAACACCTCACTCAACCCTCCAAATCAATACTTTAAATTGATTCCCCTCCATTTGCACTGAGAGGAGAGGAAATGAGGGAAAATAAGTACCAGGCCACTGATGAGCTTCATGACTTGGAGTCAAAGGCCGTTGCTGTGCTGGAAGTGTTGGATCAGGGTGATGAATTATTCATGGCTTCATTAGAAGGAGACTTCAAGGTATAAGATGTAGTTATATTTCATCTGTCTGCGTGTGCAGGAGGAAGCAAAACGTCCCAGTTTAATTTCTGGTCTGTGTTCTGTGAACATTAAACTGTCAGAGGGTTTTCAGTGGGAATCAGAGTCATGGAATCATTAAGGCTGCAAAAGGCCTCGAAGACCATCGAGTCCAACCATTCCCCCAGCACAGCCAAGGCTACAACTAAACCACTTCCCAGGTGCCACACCCACATGTTTTTTGAACACTTCCAGGGAAATCTCTGCTAAACCACTCTCCAGCTCTTGCTACTGTATTTGCAAAGCACGAGGCACATGTTGACATAGTGACAGCTCCTGGGTCTTTCTTACAGGATTGTCCTTACACTTGTCTTTGTCTGCCCTGTCTCCCACCACCACAACCTCTATTTACATCACACACAAGATGTATGGGAGGGCTCAGTGAGGAAGACATCAAAGGAGGGAAGAAAATGAAATATATGCAGCTGAATTCTCTCCCAACAGAGCTGTTAATGTACCTCACACACCAGAAACTTATTAACAAGGGCACTTCAATACCGTTGATAATGGCCTCCATTATCAGGATGTCTCTGTTAAGTTGTGCCCCTCCTGCAGACAGGGCACCATCTGTTCCCAGAAAACCCTTCATTCATCTGGTCCCCCGGTTGGAATCTCTGCTGAGTGGTCTCAGCTGTCCATGTGTTTGGCTTGGAGAACAATAGCTGGGTTTGGGGAGGTCTGGAGGCAGCAGATCTGGGGGGACAGGACCTGTCACCCTTTGCCTGCGGCTCAGTTGGGGTTTCTTCTGCTGAATCAAGTTTTGCCCCCTCGCTGCTGTTCCTTGCTTTCTTCTCTAGTGCCCGTGCAGCTCCACAGGAATAAAGTGCATCTGTGTTCTGGGAATGTCTGAAAGCACAAATGTGGGCATTCGGAGCGATTTAATAATTCATCACCTGAGCACAAATCTGGTTGTATTGAAAGCAAAACAAAATCTAATGAGTTTCATGAAGTCTGATTTGTCCTCTCTTAAAAGCAACAGTTTGAGGAATACCAAACCCTTTCTCTCTTTCCCCAGATCCATGACTCCAGCCCAAGCAGACCTGGAATTTCTTGAGAATGCAAAAAAGCTGTCTATGTATGGAGTCGACCTTCACCAAGCCAAGGTGAGAACCAGCACCCTGCCTGTGGGTTTTGTCATTTGGTTATCCTTCCCTTGCAGGAACAAGTTTACCTGTTTCAGGAAGCTCCTTTTGAAAGGTAGAGGAAGTATGGAAATACAGACACAGAACAGGAATGACTCAAGCATTCCTGCAGGAGAAGTGATTCTTCTTGGTTGCTTGTTATTTATATATCCCAGGAAGCTTTCCAAAGCTTCTTATATAGAGTCCTTGCTCTGAGGAACTTTGAATTTATGGCTCTGACCTGCCACGTGGGGCAGGAAGGACTCTGGATAAGCCCTTTGGGCAACCAGCAGTGCAGGAAAGAGGAGGTTGTGAGGAGAAAAGTGAAGGAAAAGCTGGAGCTGGGAGCTGGAGTCTGGGGGGGGTGGGGAGATGAATTTGGGTGAAGACCAAAGGGGTGATTTGGAAGGCAGATGTTGACCTGAAACTTGTAACCCTGACGCTGCTTAAATCCTGGTTTCCCAGGACTTGGAAGGAGTGGACATCACTCTGGGAGTCTGTTCCAGTGGCCTTCTTGTTTACAAAGACAAACTGAGAATCAACCGCTTCCCGTGGCCCAAAGTCCTGAAGATTTCCTACAAACGCAGCAGCTTCTTCATAAAGATTCGGCCGGGGGAGGTGTGTCCTGGCTCCTGTGTGTCACCTTTCACTGCCTTGTGATTGTCACCGTGTGTGTGTGTCACTGAAACGGGGGTGGGGAGGGAACGGCCTTTTCCCTGGATGAGCGTTTCCTGTCGGGGTGTCTGATCCCGGCTTGGGGTTGAGCCGGAGCTACAGCCTGGCTGGTGAGGGTTTAACAGCGTGTCATCCAGCACCACCTCCTGGCACTGCGGGGTATTCCCAGCATCCAGGGGAACGGGTGGGAAGTTGTCAGCTGAAACTGGGAGAGGACTAAATCCTGGTTTTTTTTGGTTTTTTTTTTGGACACAAGGCAAAACAAAGGCTCTTTGTCTTGCTTTTATTAAAAGAAAGTAATAAAAAATTCGAATTAGCTTTTCACCTAAGGGCAGGAGGCAGGGGATGGATGCACTGGTGCTGCTTCATCAGTGGGGAGATCCCTGGAGCAGCCTGGCCACATCAGGGAGAGAGGCTGCAATGGGGATCTGCCTCTTCCCTTCTCTTCCTCCTCCTCCTGCTTCCACTGCCTTGACCCAGCCTTGCAGGGAGGTCAATGTTTGACTCCATCCTGCAGCTGGGCAGTATGATGGGGGTGTAAATGAGGCTGACTGGCTGCAAAATCCACAGCATGTTCCTCTGTAAATCCCAGTGCATCCTGAGAGATGCCCAGGCTTGTGGCCAAGCCCTACCTTTGATCTGAGCTCCTCCTGCACATCCTGGAATGAGTTCAGCAGTTTGTGCTGCAGCAGGACAGAGCAATGGGCTGGGGACTGAGCTCCTGCCTCATGTATTCCTTGCTATACCTAAATAAGTTGTATTTCCCACAGCAAGAACAGTATGAAAGTACAATTGGGTTCAAGCTTCCAAGCTACCGGGCAGCGAAGAAGCTGTGGAAAGTCTGTGTCGAACATCACACCTTCTTCAGGTGGGTTTCCTGAACTTTGAGTAACTAATGCTTTAGTGTAACTGCTGAAAGTGAGCAGTGTTCCTTAGTTCCTTCAGTGTTCCTTAGGGTTTGGAACAACTGGAGTGAAATGGTTGCAGGGACACTGAGTGTTTGTTTTGCAGTAAATTTTTAAGCAGGTTCTGCTTTATAAGATACATAAGACAGAGAACTTTCACTGATGTAGATGTGAGACTTATTGGCAAGAGACTTCTTTAATTTCTATTTAATTTCTCTCTACCTCCTCCCCTACACTCTCCCTTCCCAATACATCCATAGAAAATGAAACTCCTTAGAAAATAAAGTCCAGTGAGTGGCACTTAAACCAGAACAACTCAGGTTTAGTGGGATTTGAGCTCAGCCCAACTCAAAGTGATCTCTTGGATTCTTCAGAAGGTTTTTCTACTCTGAAGCACGCTGAGCTCTCTGGATCCGGGGAGCTTTCCTGATGGAAATGCCACAGCCATGAAGGAGCACTCATTTCAAAGTGTTTGGTGTTAGAAATTGAGGAGATTTGTTGGGAAACGCCAAGTTGGGATTTCCCAATTTGTTGGGAAACTCCAGTGCAGCACAGCCCACAGAAGCCATACGTATTTTTCCCAAGATGATATGCAAAAAGAACGAGAATCCTTCATTCCCTCTCGTGTGGGGGGAAAATCAGCCCAACGTCACGAAGTCGTTTGGAGTCGAGGACGCGGATTTTCGGATTTGTTCCTTTACTCTCCTCGGCCGCGCCGAGATTTGCCGGATTTGCCACTGGCTTTTGGTTTTTAAATCCCGGGCGTGTTTTTCAGGCTGACTTCCACCGAGGCCATCCCGAAGAGCAGGTTCCTGGCGCTGGGCTCCAAGTTCCGCTACAGCGGGCGGACGCAGGCGCAGACGCGGCAGGCGAGCGCCCTGATCGACCGGCCCGCGCCCCAGTTCGAGCGCACGGCCAGCAAACGAGCCTCCAGGAGCCTGGATGGAGGTGAGTCCACACGCCCCCCTCCCCGCCCAGGATGCTGAAATAACAGCTCAATCCCCTGCTGTACAAAAACCCCCCCTCGCCTCCGTGAGTCGTGTGTTGAAGGGTTATCGTGTGTTCAGGGGTTGTCGTTCGAACCCGCGCTCGTCACGCGACCTTTGCTCACGTCAAAAAAAAAAAACACCCCAACCAACCGACCCAAAAGTTCCCCCTGCAAAGATCAAAATAACGTCATCACAACACAGGTAATTTATGCAAAATCCGCCCTTTGTCCCTTCGCCACAGTCACGACAGGAATTTCCCCCGTGATCATTCCGCTCTCCGACACTGTTCAGTACTTATTTGTCTGTTACCTCTCCCAGGTAGTATCCTTATCTTAAAATCACAGCACTGTGAGGGCTGCTGTGGGAAAATGAGCTCCAGCTCAGCCAGGCCCAAAACAAAAATGCAAACTGAGAGTAGTCGCGGCAGAACTCACTGACAAAAAGGGTGTGGGTGGGTGCTGAAGGCTCATGGCAAAGTTCTGGTTGTAGAGATATTTCCTCATTCAGTGTCAAAGCATTTTTCTTTAGAAAATCAGGAATTAAGCTATTTGTTTTGTTTAACGTAACTGCTTAAATTCCTTAGTTCTCCTTGAGGGGGAGATTTTTTGCCACAGCTGAAACTTTTCCAGTGTTCCTTAAAGTGATGCTTAGGTTGGGATGTCAGTCAGGTGGGCTTATCTCACGTTTTTAAAGGAGATGGGTAGCTCCAGGCTAGAGGAGGTGAGACATGGAGAGGAGAGTGCTTAAGTTTACTCCACTCGATCTGGATCACTGGATACTAAGATTCTGAGAAAGGGGAGCATCGCTTTGCACCACGAGTAACAGGGAGAGGGGAACATCTCTTTGCACCATGAGGATCCAGGGAAAGGGGAGCATCCCTGTGCTCTGAGAGGATCCAGGGAAAGAGGAACATCCCTGTGCTCTGAGAGGATCCAGGGAAACGGGAGCATCCCTGTGTAGCAAGAGGATTTAGGAAAGGGGGAGCATCTCTGTGCGCTGAGAGGGTCTAGGGAAAGTGGAGCATCCCTGTGAACTATGAGCATCCAGGGAGAGGGAGCATCCCTGTGCACCATGAAGATTCAAGGAAAGAGGAGCATCCCTGTGCTCTGAGAGGATCCAGGGAAAGGGGAGCATCCCTGATGGAGCAGGGACTTCATTGCTTTGAGCCCCGAGGTTGTGCTGCAGCCCGGGAGGCACCAGGGTTGTCCCAGCGCCCTGTGACCAGCAGAAGCCAGGCTGTCCCTGCTCCTGTGCTCAGTGACACTCCAAGCCTGGGCTTTGTACCTCGAATCCAGAGGGAAAAGTCTGCTTGGTCTGAGCTCCATTCAGCAGCAAAGCCAAATTCCAGCTTACCAACAATCCGGGCGTGCGAGATTCCTCAGGCACGACGCACGTGGGGGGGGCGAGGAGACCAGGGCTGTTGGTTGCCACTTGACCCTGCCATTCTGACCCCAGATGGGTAGAGAAATCCCAGCTGCAGTCCCACACCTGGACGTGAGAGCGTGGAGAGGAGCAGGCCGGGGATGTGCGGGCCCTGTGGCGGTTGCAGCGTCGCCTGTGCCGCGCGGGTCCTTAACGTGTGCCCCGTTTCCTCAGCTAAACGTGCGACTCAGAGAGTTGAGTTCAGGACCGTAGAGGAAGAGAAGCAGAAGGAGGTGGTGGTGGTTGAGGTTCCTGAACCAAAACCTGCGGATCAGATCCGAGAGAAGCCAGGTATAGCTGTGGTGGTGGCTACAACTCTCTGCGGTGCCTTTCCTGTCCTCTCCGTGCTTGTTCCTGACAATTCCAAGTTTCACCCAATCTGATGGCTTTCTTTTTTCATTTCTTTGCAAGAAGAATTCTGCAGTGAGAGGAGACACAGCCCAGCTCTGGGAAACTCCTTAAATTTCCACCTTGCACCTTGTAATTCTTGTGAGGAGGTGGGGGGAAAGTTGAGGATGTGATGGTACTTAAGAACTCTCATTAGATTTGGGTAGTTTTGTGTATGTCAATTAGCAAACTTTAAAATTTGGTCTTGAAACTTCTTGTGAAGCTTCTGAAATTCTTCATCGTGGGATCTTCTCGCCATTTTTTAAGAGTTCTGGGAGCTTTTTTTTTTTTTAAAGTCTATTCTGGGATCTTTTTTCAGCATTTGAGAAATGCCACCCCATTTAGTCTGTGGAGCTTATATTTCTCTTAAGAGAGGTACTATTAATAAATATTAATAAATATTAATGTCCTTAAGAGGGGGTGTAGGTACAACAGCACATTTGAATACTAATAAGTGTTTCACAGCACAGTGTTGTCAAATATTTGCAGCCTTCATCACTTGGATGGCGACCGCCTGTGGTGTGTTAGGGCTGGAAATAATTCGTATGCAAATGCTGTGGGTGCTGCTCTGCTTCCCTCCTTCCACCTGGAATTTTTTTACAGTGTGCTTTTGACTGCATCACTATTTTTGTAGCATCTAGGTCCAGCTTTCACGAAGTGTGTCAGCCTTCCCCCCACCGTGGTCATGCCTTGATCTTCCCTAGTCAGCATTGCCTGGTGGGGAAAGCCCGATGCTGTAAAAACAGGGTGAGGAATTTCAGGCACCAAGTGAATCATTCAAGTACATTTAATTAAAGCTGCTAGTTTTTATATAGGTTTTTATCTGGATGTGTTTTGCCTGGATTTTGCCAGCCAGCACCCCTATCCCTCCAGACTGTGCAGGCAGAGCCCATCCTAGTTCCACACGTGTCCCCACGTCTCCCTGCCTGGGCAAGGAGCCTGCAAAGCTTATTTCTGTTGTTCTTTTCCCCTCTTATCCAATGCACTGTTGGGTATGGCAGCACTAAAAAGGCTGGTGCACAATTCCATGGTGGAAAATGACTGTTGAGCTGCCTGGTTTGCAAACCTCTTTGCTGTTCCCAGCTGCTGAGAGGGATCTCCTCGCTCTTTGCTGTGGTGACCGTCGTGTGTCCGTGCGGGTCCCCAGCCCCCATTAACACCTGCAAACCTCTTTCTAGCCAAACACACTCTTGAAACTTTTGAAATGAAACCCATTGCAGAGGAGGAAGAGGAGGAGGAGAAGGTAGAGGTGGTTAAGGTTCCTGTTGCCAAGCCAAAGTTCCCGGAGCCGGTGCCGCCGCGGTCAGGTACAGCCACAGCGGCGTTTGGTGGCTGCTGTGCTGTCACTGTGGGGGTGAAGTGATGCAGTGCTGTAGGACACAGGTTGCACTGCTTGTGGTGGTGTTTGTTGCCACTAAAATCCCCCCCTGGCTTTGCCGTGTGCTGCTTTCCAGGAGTGCCCTGGGTGAGGTGAGCGGGTGCCGTGGCTTGGCTGTGTGTGGAAGTGAGTGTGCAGTGGCCTCTTAACCCTCCTCCCTTGCTGTTCCTTCCTGGAAGGTTTGCTCCCCTGAGCTGTGGGAATGTGCAGTGCCTGAAAATCAGGTTATGAGATCCAGGACTACTGGAGGTCACCTACATTCCACTTTATTTCTTCACTAGGGAGTGCTGCTTCCCTAGTTGGAAAAGGGTGTCAGAGCAACGTCGCTGCTGCAGTCAGATCCACGCTAATCATGATTAAAATGGGGTTGATTAGTTGTTGCAGAAAGAGGAGACTGAAGCCGTGGAGGGAGGTAACTGAGAACTTCATGTTTTCTTGGTTAGGATGGAAAACACTGGAGGATATTCCATGGGATGGGCAGCAGCAGAGTGGACATCAGCTGGTGTCAGACCTGAGCACAGCCTGGGCTCTCCTGATGCAGCTGCCCCTTCTTATCCATCTCCTGCACTTTTCCTCCTCCTGACTCTCCTGTTCCCAGCAGGGACTGTTAGTGGGGTGATGGTGGTCGATCACAGAATCATGGAATGGTTTGTGTTGGAAGGGACCTTAAGGATCATTCAGTTCCAACCTACATTTTATATCTTTTATTTTGGGGCAGTGCTTTTTTACTGTGTTTAAATCGTGTCAAAATACCCTGAAGTAGTTAATCAGGAAAATTAACTAAAATACAGTTCTGGGCAGCCCAGAACTCACTGTTGGATGGCAAAGGAAAAGCTTGGTGTCTGTTATCATTTTTCCTGCATGTCTTCATGCCCTGGGAGAGGAGCAGGAGAGGTGGCTGTGTGGATTTACTGGTGGCAGTATTTCCTTTGCTGCTTCATCTTTGAGGTGGCATTTTAACACATCCATAACTTTTTTAGCCAAACGTGATCTTGGCAGTATTGAGATAAGCCCAATTGAAGAGGAGGAGGAGGAGGAGGAGGAGGAAGAAAAAATGATGGTGGTGAGAGAACTAGAGCCAGTCCCGAAGGAGCCAGGTACCACCGCGATGACGGCTTTGCTCTCCCAGCATCCTCCTCATCCCGACTGTCCCTGCCATCCCACCTCTGTACAACCTTCCCAGCGGCTGTCACCGCTTCCATGGCAGAAGTACACCGGGACATGGCACTGATTGTCCTCCTGAAAGGAGAACACAGTGTCTGGGCCACAGAAGTGAGCTGCTGTGCTGAGGAGCAGGGAGAGGACGGAGCCTGTGGTGGTGGTGTGGGGTTTGGGGTGGGTCCAGGTGTTTGTCTTGAAGGTGTAATTGAAGTCTCTGGAAAACCAGGTTCTTTTTTGCACACACCCCCCTCCCATCTTGTACATTTTTTGGTCATGTGGATGCTTTATTCTCTCATGTTTTATTTACACACAGATGAGACGCAGTGACCTTTTCAGTGAAACAGGAATTCTTACTAAGGAGTTGCTTGAAATCACAGTTTCTTTTTTAACAGCAAATTTTCTAGTGTCTTTGACTGGACACCGGTGTTGGATGGGATGGGTTGCACAGTGTGATCCTGCTGCAAACTGTGACTTTGGGAATGTGGGACCACGTCGAAGATACTATTTTGGGTGTATTTTTAGTGGAACATCCATAAAAACAACCTCAGGAGAACCAAATAGCTTATTGTATCTATAGGTACACACAGGGGCTGGCTTTGTCACACAGTATTGACTTGAATATTTCGTTGGAGTCGGGCCTTTCAGGGGTCAGGAACTGCCTGGGAAATCAGGAATTGAAGGAAAGGAATAGGCAGTTGATTTTATGTGGGGCTAGTGCTTGTGTTTAAGACTGTCATCCTCTGGAAAGGTGATTTTTTGGCAGCATGCTGTTCATTCCTGCACTGTCACTGACCTGGAGGTGCTGGGTATCTTCCCACCGTGCTGCCTCGGAGATACCCCACGGGACACACAGCCCAGCCTGCTTTGAATCCCACCTGGAAGTTGCTGTGAAGTTTTCTAGAGCGATGCTTGTTGATTATTTTTTCATTTGAGTTGCCTACAAGATTGGGGAGGGGGGGGGAAAGCCTGTGTTTCCCTTCCAGAAACCATCTGTTTCTGTTTGAGGAGGTGCCCACAAGCCCAGAACTCCCCACTCTGTGTCCGTTTTGTGGTGGCACTGGAGTGGAGTCCGTGTCAGTTGTGTGTGAAGGACCCAGAAATCTGTGGCACGATGTCAAATTCCAGATTTGCCTTTCTGGTGTGGCTTCTCTGCAGAGTGCAAGCTTGCTTTTTGTAAACCATCTGGTGTGGGGCTTTATTTGATTTTATTTAAACCATAAGGAAAATAATCCCAACTCTCCCGTACTAAACGCACAAACTGCTTCGCTCAACATCTTTATTTCGTTTCCCTTTTTTTACCTCCTCCTCCTCCCTTTCTTTTTAAATGACAGCACTGTAATTTGGAAAGGCTTTGCCTAGAGCTTCGGAACGTTACCTGCTCTGAACCTTGTCCCTGTGTGTCCCCCCTCCTCAGCAGTGGCTGTGATAACCCCGGAGCGGAGTCCCCGGCCCACCTCGGCCCCGGCCATCGCTCAGAGCCACCCTGCAGAGCCAGCCCCAGCTAAGCCTGACGTGAAGGACGCGGCCACATCTAAAATGGGGAAGGAAACAGCAAAAGCTGATGTGAGACGTGAGGAATTCCCACCAGAGAAAGCCAAGGCAGAGCCAGCTGATGCATCCAAGGTAGGTCAGACCGGAGTCTCTTTGGAAGAGCTGGAGGGTCACTCTAGAAGCCACCCCAAAGCAGCAGCTCTGTCCACCTTCCCCTCCTGGGAGATGAGGGGTTTATCCCTCTCCCAGGCATCAGGTGGGGAGCAGGCACGGGGGTCTGGCTGCCAGGGGAATCCCAGCCCTGACATTCCTTGTGGAAGAGGAGTCACTCCAAGTTCTGGTGGCTGCAGTCAAACTGAGTGCAACCTTAAGATGGTTAAAAACGCTGCCAAGGGCTGCACGTGCTCGTGGGGTCGGAGTTTAGGGCTCACCCATGGCCAGGCTGTGCCCCTTGATTCCTGGTACGACAGCAGGAGGCAATTCCAGTGAAATCAGTGATATGGATCTGGCTGCAGCCCAGCGCCGGAATGTTTTTCACATTGATAGGCTTTGGCTGGGAGAGCTGGTAACACAGTGCTGCAAACTGGACTAAAACTTTAGTTGACGATGGCACTGGTGAGACCTTGGGGGGTTTATTGTTTAAATGCCATTTTTTTAAGCATTATTTGATCTTTCTACAAGTGTCTGAGGCCTTTGCCGGGGTTGATATGTGTGTGTTGTTCTAATAAGTCAGAATAATGTGCAAAATTAATGTTGATATTACAGTGTCCTTAATATTCTGCAGATCTTATTGAACTGAAGCCTTGCAGTGGTGCAGCAGAAGTGTTTGCCTTGAGACACAATTTTCACATTACCCCAAAATTTAGCTGATCTCAGCATTGCTGGAGCCACATTTCCTATAACATATCACACAGTGGGTCTTATGTGACATCTCCAGGGGAAATCCCTCTTAATTAAGGTTGGGAGATGGAGGTAAAGGAAAGGACAGTTGCTTCAAAAAATTCCACAGCCTGTGTGAGTGGTAATTTTTAAAGGAAAGTGCTGAAGGGATCCTCAGGCTGGCACTGTGGAGTTGGAATTGGAGCACAGAGTTCCTGCCTGGCTGCTCCTCCTCCCTTGTGTTACACTGAGAACAAGGAAATTTTACTCATCCCATCTCACTTATTACAGGTTTTTTCTTAAGTGCTCAAACACTGGATTTTTTTTTCCCCCCCTTTAAATATAGATGTGGGAGGAAATTGTGGATTTGAACGTGCCAAATTTACCCTGTTTCTCCAATGTAGCTGCATCACTTCTTTTAACACCCACTGAATGCTTTTACCTTCAGAGTACTTGGCAACCCAGTTTCCCTAAAATACTTCCTTGAGAGTGTTAAGGCAATCTTGGCTCTCTACTTATGGACAGGAAAGAACTTAATTAGTGATGTTAGGCTTGGTTTTGTAGCTAAGCCTGCTCTTACTGCCTCTGCCGACGTAATACCTGTGCATATAACCAATAATTTCTGTTTTTGAGAAGGTCTGTGTTAATTGGAGCATGTTGCTTTGTTGGGATTTCACTGGGAGATCCAGCTGCAAATGGCATTTGAAAACATTGCCTGGCCGAGCTAATGCAAGTGGGAAGCCCTTCTTCAGAAGCACTGGAGAGCACTGGTTTCAAATATAAATAATTCTCCAGCTGAAGGAATTATTTCACCTGCTGTTGACTAACAGAGCTGCCGTGCCATTAACCCAGGGCTGCATGTTGGTTTTTGCATGTTCCCCCAGCACCTCAAAACCAACTTTATGCAGCCGTGTTTGGAAACTGAACAGTTTCTCGAAACAAATCTACTAACAAGAAATGTTTTTACCGATTTATTTCTTAAATGTAGGTGAGGAAAACACACATTGAGGTCACAGTCCCCACCACGAATGGTGCCCAGCCCCAGGTTTGTGCTAATAATTCAGTTTAGGTTGCTCACAGTTGTTTTGGTTTTGTTTTTTTTTTTTAAGGTTCAACATAGTTAAATGAACCAACTCTTTTTTTTTTTTTTTTTATCACTGCCCAACAGCAGCAGCCTGCAGAAAAAGAGGAAGAGCTGATAAGAATGAGGAAGGTTAGCCATTTTACCCTTTCACCAGCCAAATTTGCCATATCATTCATGCATCTGTAACATGTTTAAAAAGACAGTGCTCCAATTTCTTCCTGTGCTTTGGGTTGGGATGTTGGTTTTCTTTTGACTACCAAATACTTGATTGGAAAATGAGTAGTTTTTTTTGTCCCATAGACACAGCCTGATTGCTAAAATTATGCCTGTTGAATGTTCAAAAGAAACACGGTTGGTTTGACTTATGAAATTTGTCTTCTCTGTAACAAATTCACTTAGAAACCAGAGAAAACTGTGCAGTTTGCATTGCAGGAAATGCAAAAAAAAAAGAAAAATGAAGAGGATGTTTTTTTTTTTTGGTATTGATTAAGTAACAGGGACACATCCAAGATGGGACAGGTGGTTCAGGCATAGTTACTGTGCACACTGGGACCTTGTAAAGGTTACTCCAGGTAGTACAGCCTCACACTGGGGTGGGCCTGCATCCCTCAGGGATGTCACGTGGTGACCTGTGCAAGGCTTCCATGGAAAACCAGTAACTGTCTCTTTGTGGCCGGAGCTGAGGCCCCCGGGAGCTGTCTCTTTAAAGGACTCATCACATCTCCCATTCTCCATGAGCCAGACCCCCCCATTCCTGGTGGGAATTCCCACCCCACGCTGCCTCAGCGCTGCACTCCCGACCTTGAGTTAACTTTTTTAATTTGCCAGTTTCTCGATCCCGCAAGACCAACGTTTTAATTTTTTGTGCTTTTTTTTTTTTTTTGTTTGTTTGTTTTGTTTTGTTTCCCCCTTTCCTTTCATTTTCACAGAAGAGATCAAAGAGGCTAGATGGTGAAAACATTTATATCAGGCATAGCAATTTAATGTTGGAGGTTTGTATGAACTTGAAGCTTTTTTTGAGTTGCATTTGCCTAAACCTTCTGCATCTGCGCTGAACTTCTTCCTCTTCTGCTGCTGCCTTTATTTTGCATGCTCTTGCATGAAAGACCTTTTGATTTGATTTGATTTTTTAATTATGCTTTTGCATGGTGACAGTAAAATGATGATGTGCAACCATTCTTCCTTCTACCTCTTCTGACTTTCATTCTCTCATACCTACCCAAAATACATGATTGGCAGAGCTCAGATCTGCTCTGGGACCCACTGGGTGCTCACAGGGGCATAGATTGTAGTGGGGACTAGTTTTTCATTGCTTGAAACAAATTACTTTCCTGGGGGAAAAGCTAGTCTATGAAAATACAAAATTCAGGATAAGCTGCAGGGGAAATTGGAACAGGTTGCCCAGAGAAGCTGTGGCTGCCCCATCCCTGGAAGTGTCCAAGGCCACGTTGGATGGGGCTTGGAGCAACCTGGGCTAGTGGGAGGTGTCCCTGCCCTTGGCAGGGGGTGGAACTGGATGAGTTTTATGGTCCTTCCCAACCCCAACCATTCTGGGATTCAATGAAGTTGTCACCCCTGGGCATTCAAGCCACCACAATGTCCATGTTGCTTCAGGCAGGAGGGATCCTTTTGGATGCTGCAGGGATGTTTCCATCCTCCTTCAGCCCTTCCTTGCCTTGCAGCACCTCAGCACCCCCCAGGTCCCATCCTGCTCGGTGCCAGCTCCCCACAGATCTGACATGGGGGCTCAGTGGTCACGGGTGGCTCATCCCTCCAGGTTTTCCCTTTGCATTTGGGAGCCCTTTCCGTTTGCTTTCACCCAAGCACGGTCTCAGAACAGGCCACGCCAATCATATATTTTAATTCTTTAATACACTGTGTTATGGGAGATGTTTTGTGGCTTCTGATACTCTGTGTTACGTGTTTCTACTCAGACTTGCAGCCCCAGCAGCTCGTAGGGTTTCCCCGTTGCCATCTCTTGAAAAAAGTGGAGTGAACCAACTGCCTTCTCCTAATCGGAATTTTCAAAAAGTTTTGCAGCTTTTGGGTGGTTTGTTTGTTTGTTTTGTTTTGGTTTTATATTTATTTTTTTTTTTTAAAACCTGCTACAACGTAGAGCTTTGAGCCGCGAGTGAAGGGTGTGAACACATCGGGCCGCTGCTGGAGCTCTGAAGACTCTGCCTGTCGCCTTCTTCCACCCAACTCAAAACAGCTCCATCTCCCCAACCCCAAACAGAGCTTTGTCTTTGCTTCCAAACCCCTTTTTCCTGTTACTGCAACACCTGCCTCTGCCACCCAGCCCTTTCCCTCCCTGGTTCTGTTGCAGGTGCTCCAGCCCTCCCCTAGAACAGGGCTCACCCAGCAGCTCACCCCCTTCGTTCCCTTTGTGTTTTTTAGCCCATGCATTTGGCAGATCAGATATTTTCCCAGCAGACCTCACCCTCCTGAAGCTGCCTGTTGATTTTGTTGAAAGCCTTTTAACTCTCCACCTACACCAGGTTCTTACAGAAAGGGAAAAACAGGAGGAAAAGGAGGTGACGCTGAGTGAGCTGGTTCCTCAAGGTGCTTTCCAGACCTGGCTCCACGTTAGCTCCTCGTGGCTTTAGCTCCTCTCCAGCCCTCCCAGGCCCTGCTCCTGCACAGTGCTGGAAAAGCCAAGGTGGTCCTTCTCTCTTCTCTAAGCCAGGAGCAGCTGTAGGGTTCCTGGACCCAGGCAGGGATTTACCCCGGAGTCTTCAGCAGACTTATTTCTGCTTTTTTTCCCTACCCAGCAGGCACTTGACTTATACTTTCATCCAGAATTGATGCCAAAACTTGCGTTTTTTCCCCCTAGAACTGTGCCAAAAAGAGTAAATGTTGTTAAGGAGGCATTTGGGGTTTAGCTGTGTCCTGGGTGAGCTGCAGGGATGCAGATTTTTGGGAGGGCCCCTCCTTTAGGGATGTGTTTGCTCTTCCATCTTCTAAAATTAATGGGCTGAGTAACAACTGAAAGCACAAAAATAGTTAAATTTCCCAGTGATGCTTTTACTGACCTTGATTTCTCCCTTTCTTGCTGCTTTTTGGCCCTGTCCAGAAAAGTTGTTGTTTGGCTTACACCTGTTTTATGCAGAAGCTTTGTTTTCTACAAACTCTGGTTTGCTTGCAAAGAAAAACTATTTTTAACAAGTTGACTTGCCTTGAAGTCTGTGTGTTTATGCTGTAAACTGGCATCACAGAGTAGAAATCTGGCTTTTTCCAGATGGAAAAAAAAAATCATCAGGAGTTTTTTGACTGATCCAGCATAAAGGAAATTCTCAGTTTGATTAAAAAAAAAAAATCATCTCATCTTCATTTCAGAAGTCTAAAACCTCCTATGGTAGCTCCTGGAGGGATGAGATGAGAAGGAGGGGAAATGATGGTAATGGAGATATTCTGGGAGCAGAGATAATTCCTGTTAGGATTAAAGAGAAATAGGTATGAAGAGAGCAAAAAAAAAAAAATTAGGAAAACGTGTTATTGAACATTAATTGTATTGATACCTGGGAATATTCAGGCTTGCAGAGGGAAAAGAAAGCAAACCTACCCGATTTAAAAAATAACCTGAACAAACAGAGTCTGGCAACTCTACAAAAAAAAAACAACCCATATGGGGAAAATCCATGAGATTCCAGGTGACCTGTCACTGCTTTGGTGGAGATTCTCCTGGAGGAGACCGTGATTAATCCGAGAGGAGAGAGGAGAGAGGACGCTCCCTTGGTGTGTTTGCAGTGTGAGCAGCACTCGGGAGGTTCGGCCCCGCTGAGCGCAGCTTTGCTAAGCCCAGCCTAGGCAGTCCCAGCTCCTCCCTGCACCCCTTCACTCATCCTGTCCCTTTTGCTGGTAGGATCTAGATAAGCCCCAGGAGGAAATCAAGAAGCACCATGCCAACATCAGCGAGCTGAAGAAGAACTTCATGGAGTCCGTCCCGGAGCCGCGGCCGAGCGAGTGGGACAAACGTCTGTCCACCCACTCCCCTTTCCGGACCCTCAACGTCAACGGGCAGATCCCCACGGGAGCGGATGGAGTGAGTACCTTGGGGCCGTGGTGGTGTTCCAAGGGGTGGCCTTTTAGCATGTGGGATGGTCCCTGAGAGAGCTGAAGTCGGAGGCGTCATAAAAATGCGAGTTTTGTTTTGGTAGGGGAGGACGTAGGGATTCCTCACCTGCTTTTGGGGCTGCTTTTCCTGGTGTTGCTGTCACTGTGATGTTAGAGAGCACTTCCCATCTCCCCAAAATGTTGGACAAAACCCACCTAAACTCTTAAATTAAGAGAATTATTACTTCAGTGATAATATTGCAACCCAGTGCAGAAGCACTAGGATGGGATAATTTTTCCGAAATCACTTTATTCTCCAGTTTCTCCTTGGGGTTTAGACTTGCATTAGGAATTCCAGATGCTGATCTGCTGTGGAGGCTTCAGGAAGACTCCTCAGCAGGGCTGTTCATACATGATGGGAACCTTCCTCCTTCCAGGAACAGGGCCTGTGTGTTAGTAGCCACATACACCCAGTTTCTCTGCTCATTTCCTTAAAAAAGGTAATTTTTCAAAGAAACCCAGTTGGAACAGCAGAGATCTGTCACCAACTGGTTTCTTCTTGGCTCAGAGACACCTTCTCTGTGTCACATTGGTGGTGCCTAACTCAGGTTTGGAGCTTGTGAGTAAAACTGTAGTTAGCACCCGTGGTAATCAGTCTCTGATTACTCTCTCACTCAGTAGTAAATGCAATTTTTTATTACAACAGAAAAATTGCATCCTGGCTGCAGTGGTGGCAGTTGGAGACTCTCTCCTGGTTTAAGCCCAGCTTCTCTCCTTCCTGCCCACAGCCCTGCAGATAAACCTGTATTTTATCTTCAAAGCAGTGCAAGGGAAACACTCATTAGTCAGTAAATAGTCTTGCAGTGGATGGAGCACTGTAACACCTACAAGAGGTTTAACACCAAGTTTACTGCAAGCTCCTCAAAGTGTAGAGAAAACCCAGGACAGCTTAGGAAAAATGAAATCCCCAAATTGAACTTAGTCGGGGTTGGTTGCTGTAGAATCACAAAGTGGTTTGGGTTGGGAAGGACCTTAAAGCCCATCTCGTTCCACTCCCTGCCCTGGGACACCTTCCACCAGCCCAGGTTGCTCCAAGCCCCATCCAACGTGGCCTTGGACACTTCCAGGGATGGGGCAGCCACAGCTTCTCTGGGCAAACTGTCCTTGGGATTACCCTGTTTAACACATGGATAGACTTTGCTCAGTTTAAACCCACAGGAATTTGGGCAGCAGAGCTCTGCCCACGGTGCCACGTGGTATTTGGGGTGTGGGTGGGACAGAGCAGGGGCTCTCAAGCCCCACAACTGCAGTTCAAGAATTATATTCTTGGTTATTATGGAGAATTTCTGACAAGGTGACCATATTGTGAGGTGCTGGATGGTGTGAGCTTGTCCCATCTAAAGCCACAGTGGGTCTTTAGTGTCCCTGGATTTGCATTTCTGGAAGGTCCCTCTTAGTCTGACCCTCTCCAGAATGATCTTGCTCTGAGGTGGAGGTGGACACATTCTGGGAACTTCCAGAAATGCATCTTCACCAGACACTGACCAGGGAGGGTGTTTTCCTTCACCTGCACCTGTTGAAGGATGGCAAATCATGATGGTAATTTAAGGTTGACAAATCACAATGGTAATTTAAGGATGATAATTCACCGTGCAAAGTGGTGCCTTCACCCTGCCCTAGTGGCCAAAGGGTTTTTTGCCAGGGGCTGCTTTTCTGCTGTTCCTGAATGTTTTATTACGAGACAACTGAACCCTAACACGCTTTGTGTGTCCAGGTCAAGAAAGTCACTGTCCTATCTTCTGAGAGACAGGTTGGTGGGCTTGAGGTAAAGCTGCTGCTCTGATCTGTGCTTCTGAACCAGACTTGCTATTGCAATGGCACCGAGCAAAAACTCGACAGCAGCTGCTGGATAACATTTTTTCTTTTGGCTACATGAAGTAGTTTCATAACTCACACCCAGAGGTCTTTGGCTCTTGCTGCAGCTTTTGCAGCTTTCAGTTTTTGCTTATTTTGGTGCATGGCTGGTTCGAAAAAGCTGCATGAACGATATAACCGTGTATTCGGCGAGAAAAGCAATTCTGAAAGTTTAACTGTTCCCTGTTCTTTTTATGTTGTCTTTCTTTCCGTTTCTTTGTTGTTTTAACAATCATGTTACTCCGGCATTTTATATTTTCTTTTGCTGCCCAGTCTCCCAGCTACTTTCTCCCCAATTCTCACCACTTAGGGGTGTGCAAAGAACCAGTCCCAAAATACCGCACTGACCAGAGGAGGTTGGCTCAGCTGAGGGAGCTTAGAGCCAAGTTTTTCCTCTCCTAAGTACACCTGGATTTGCCCAGGGCTGCCAAACTAAAGGGATGGAGAGTTACTGCACAGCAACATTCCCACAATCTTTTCTTTCTTCAGCAGAAGTGCTGGAGGCTTTGCATGGTCCTGTGTGCTGATTTACTCATTCCGGGTTTTTAACGTTCCTCAGACTCCAGAAACAAAAGTGCTAAAACACGGAGCAAAATTCCAGGAGCTTGCAGTGCTCCCACTGCCATCCTGCCCGTTCCACACGTGGCATTTCTGAGAATAGCAATTTTACACTTGTTCCAGTAGAATTTTCAGACCAATCAGTGTTTTGATCCTCTGGTCAGAACTTTGGAAAAGCCTTTTGTATCTGCTCTGCAGTCTGGCTGTTCCATGGCATTTGCCAGACGCTGGTTTTAAGGGTAGATTAGGAAGCTGTCAGAGACCACCTTTTGTACTGCACCATTCCTGTTTCTAATGCCTCCAGCTTTTTTCTCAACCATTCCAATTCCAAAACACTCCAGGAGGTTTTGAGCACCTGCTTTCCTGGCAGGGCAGGCACAAAACCACCACAACCCCGATGCAGATGTTGATCAGCTCTGCAGGGAGGACGTGGTTCTGTAGCTCCAAGGCTCGTGTGGCCCAGGCCACCGGCTGCTCTGCTCCCCAGGGCAGTTTATTTTACGTTGAGAAGAGCTGTCCTAATGCTTTGCACACCTCCAAGTGTCACTTTTGGGCACTTTCCATCTGTCATTTTTGTTCATCTCTCTCTGTCTTTCTTGATCTTCTACCACGAAAGCAGAAACGGGAACGTCCTCTGTTAGTACAGGATGAAGACAAATTAAAAAAGCAGCAGATACCTACTGAGACAGCCTTTCCCCGGCCAGCAAGTGAAGAAACTCTTCCAAAGGTTTCAATTGCAATTCCTGAAGAGCAGAAAGCACTCAAAAAGTGTCAGCTGTACTCTAGCATTTTTCCTTCTCCACGTATTCCCTTTATGATGTCCTTTCTCCTCGTTGTAGCACTGACTGTTTGGTGGCTGCTCTTTCTCTGAGTGGCAACAGGGTCGTGTTGAAACCTCAAGACCAAAGCTCCTGAATTTCTTGGCCGTAGCCTCTGCTGCATCTTCCTTGTCCTGGTCTTTGATCTCTCTAGTTGGCTGTCCCGGGGAGGGACATCCCGCGACCGTCCTGTTAAATCCCTCTGTGTGTCCTTGTGTGGCTGGGATGGGACCTGGCAGGAGTGGTCTGGGATTGCCAGGTCCCTTCTGAAGTTTCCTACTGTGCAAAAGCAAATTCTTTGAACCCTGTTCCTGATTGCTGTGAGAGAGCAGGCGGGGAGAGGAAATGATGGGAGGAGTCGCTGGCTTCCTGAGCCCCTGTAGACTTCACGTAGGAATTGCTGGAAAATTGCTTTAAAACTTGTTGTTTTTTTAATGTAAGATGTTCAAAAACTGGAGAACCTTTGATACTGGTCCAAAAGAGGCTTGGCAGTAATCTGCTGAATTATGGAATCCTGGAATGGTTTGGGTTGGAAGGGACCTTAAAGCCCATCTCATTCCAACCCCCTGCCAGGAACAGGGACACCTTCCACTAGCCCAGGTTGCTCCAAGCCCTGTCCAACCTGGCCTTGGACACTTCCAGGGATGGGGAGTCCACAACCTCTCTGGCCAACAGGAGGTTGAATCTCTGGGAAGAATATCAGAATCTAATCCATAATCACCCCTTTCCTAGGAAACTCAGATTGGCATTTCAATACAAAGTACTGGTTCTCACTGCTGTTGGTGATGACTCAGGGACAGGGACAGGCAGCTTTTCTTTTCCCAGTGGGTGAAGCCTTTGGCAAAGCATCCCGGCTTCCCTCTCCACCCCTATTCACGTGTCCAAGAAAATACGCAGTGTTACAGGAGAAAACCCATTGCAAGGAGATATTAATTGTCAACCTAGATTAATCATTTCTTGGAATCTGATGGTCTCGGTGCACTCGGGATGTGTTTTGTTTCATTTGTGTGGAACTAACGGACTCGTGTTTGCTGAGGTCACAGGGCTGGAGTCACCTGCTGTTTTAACATCCCCTCTGTTGCCATGTTGGCTTGGCCACATCGGGACACACTTCTAAATGTTAAAGCCCTCGATTGTTTTTGACTTCTTTACCCAAACCCTTGCATGCTGCTTGTTGTTTACTGCCTACAGTGTAAATGTCTGGATGATGCTCCCGTTTATCCCAGTTCTCCTGGCTGAGCTGTGCAGGCTCCAGCCCAGCTGGGCTGAGCAGAGCTGCTTTGTGAGCTGGAGGGAAGGTGGGACTTTGTGTCTGAGGGGTTTCTTTTCTGTAAATAGTAAAGATGGGGCTGAGCTGAGCCCCCCGTGTCTCCTTTCAGCACTAATCCGTGTTTTCCTGCAGCTGCTGGAGGATTGGGCTGGACACAGTTACTCTGGGAACAGCCCCCAGTGCCACCAGTGGTGGCAGCTGCTCCAGCAGCACGGGAGAGAAAGGAGCAGACCTTTATTACAGGGACTAAAATGTGTGAATATATATAAATACATGTATTTATAACCCTTTCTAGATCTGTATCCATGTGAACAGTGTTATTTAGGAAGCAGATAAGCTTGCAGGAATAAGGCAAACATGGCATGTGCTGTCTGGTCAGAGGGTCCGTGGTGTGTCACGGACCACTCGAGCCACCTCTTGCTTTCAGTGTACAGGTTGAGGCTCTAAATGCTGTCTCAGAAACTTAGGTTGGTAGTGAAACTCTTTGTTTTAGTCCCACAGGAATCTTTCCAGTTCCTCTTGTACCCTGCTCCGATTAGTTCACCGGTTTGTGCCTTTAGGACTTTGTTTTGTGAGGATGCTGATTTTTCATTGGAAAAGATTCTTCCCTTTTTAATACACTGCCTTTAATACACAGTCTTCCTCCTTCAGTGCTTGGAAGCGTAGGAGTCAGAGGGTTGTTGTCCAGGTGTCCAGGTGAAGGAAAGTGTCAGCAGGCTGTGTCCCTGCATCCTTGGAGCATCCCTTGGAATGCACTTGAACTCCAGCGAGTTTGGGGTGGAATTTAGGAAGACAAAAGTGGGCCCTGGAGAGGAGAGGTGGAAAGAGATGTTGAGGTGCCACGTGCAGAAGATGCAGGATGGAAGAGGCCAGGGGGATGCTTCTGGCTGGGATTCCCTGCCTGCATCTCCTTCCCAAAATTGGAACAGACATGATGAAAAACAGGGACTGTTTGCTCTCCCCAACCTGGCTGGGGAGGGAAGGGATGGGAGTTGTGTGGGTGTCTCTTTGTTCATTTTCTGTCCATATTTCCTGGAGAAGAGCGGCTTAAACACAACAGGTGCTCCCTTCCCAAAGCCATTGCTCGGGATCCCTCTTGGAATGCACAGCTGAGGTTCCTGTGTGTGTCTTTTTGGTTCCTTGACAAGGACTTGGAAGCCACATGGGTGGCTTTGGCAAAGCCATGGTTTCTGTAGCTCTGTCACCCAATTCCAAAGGACCTGAAGTTTAAAACTCTTTGCCCAGAGCAATATCTGACCAGAGTACTCAGGGTGTCTCATCCCAGAGGGATGAGAGGTGGGCTCTGCCACTTCAGCTCAATTCTGTAATTCTTTAATTCAAACGGTCTCTTTCTCTCTCTTTTTTAATCTTGAGGCTGGTTGTCATCAGCAAAAAAGCTTGGAAACTTTACACTCTGAGAACACTCAGGAACATTTTTGGGATTTGTATACCAGTTATCACTGCAGAGTATAAAGAAATTGAACAAATGCTTTTTGTTTCTCTGGCAGTTTAGAGGCCAGTTATATTCCTCCAGGTGGGTATGAGCCCTCCTGACAGAGAATTCCTGTAGCTTATCAGGAACAGAAACCTCATCCATCTGATGCCACAGGGATGTGCCCTCTGGGCTCCAGCCCCTTTTCCAGTCCCTCCTCTGCTTTTTTTCCTGTTTGCTTGTAAGGCAAAGGGAGTGACAGTCCATGGCATTCCGTGTAAGGTCTCGTTCCTGCTCGTTCTCTCTCCCGTTTGTGCACATTCCGTGTCTCTTACACCTTGGTGCTGTGGTTTCACCCTTTTCCCTTGGTGTCCATGCAGGACTCAGCCCTCAGAGGAGGGCTTTTGGGATGCCTGCTGTCATCCTTGAGCACAGGGAGAGCTCATTGACTCTAGTGCTGTTTAAGAGCAGAGGTCTCAGGGGTTTTGTAAAGGAACCAACTCTGTACCACTCCCTGTTTTCCTCAGGAACAAACTTGCTGGGAACACTGGCAATCCCTGGCTGCCTGCCCTGACACTGGCACCCATTGACAGGGATTCACACACCCATGCCAGGCTGTGAGGGATGGAGAACTGAGTTATCCCTTCCTAGATCCTTCCAGGATCCTGGAATTGTCTGCAGTGCGTAACCTCCTCCCAGCTGGCATGAGAAATCCTGATTTTTCAATGTGGCCTGCTGCAGAAAATGACATTTTGGTGACTCTGGCACACCAGAATAAGTCTGACAGCAGTTCTGATGTTAATTAGGCTTTCCCAGTGTTTTGTGGTGTGGTCACTCAGCTCTTTGGTGCTCGTGTGTGGGATCCCCTTAGGAGCTGTTGGGGCTCCATCGTGATTGGTGTGGTTGGCTCCACACTCACTTTCTGAATCTTCTTACCCTGGTTCCATCTCTTCTGAACACCACCTAAAACATACATGAATCTCTTGTGCTTTCCTGCTTTAGGAAAAGGTGAGCATCAGTAATTTTAAGCAGCAAAGTGCTGCTGGTGGCTTGGAACTCGGATTCAGCTCCGAGGCCGTGCTGGGTGTCGGGCTCTGCATGTGCTGATGCTCGAGGTGTTCACTGCTGCAAAACAACATCCCTTTTTTCTTTCCCACTGTTGAAAGTGAGCAGATAAATGAAGGTGTTGGCTGCTTCTCCTGCCACGTGCTGCCTCTCTTGGGGGGTCAGTAGAAGATGAGCTGAGGACTCTCCATGGGCAGGTCAGGGCATGGAGTTCAGCCAAGACCAGCTCCCCTCCCTTGCAGTTTGTGCAGTGGTGACCCCAAAGAGTAGGTATTCCCTGTTTCCCTCCTGAAGTAACAAGGAGAAGTGGATTTCCTCAACGTGGCACCAAGGGAGTAGTTTGTGTTTGGAGGAAAGAGGCTGGGCTGGCCTTGCTGTGTCTGTACCACGGGGCTCCTGGGAAGGTTATCATAAAATCATGGAATATCCTGAGTTGGAAGGGACCCATAAGGAACACAGAGTCCAACTCCTGATGGTTGTGGGCAAAGTGTCTTTCACTTCACATCAGTGTCAGTAATTTGTCGCTCTGAGAATTATTCCACTTTGTTGGGTTTTCTTTTTTCTGGTCGTGAGTTGATGGCGCCTGTTCTGACCTACAGAATGAGGAAGGAAGCTTTCTGGGTAAATTCAGCCCCAAAAAAGGATTATGGATTCATGCAGGAACTCTCTGGTCTGTACTTGATAGTGGGTGACACTGGAGAGAACCTGTCAGTGGTGGTTCCTCTCGTGTCCCTGTTTGTGTCCGTTGTGGTTTGTGAGGCTGGAGGGAAGGGCTGGCCTTGCTTTGGGCCCCTTTGGGATCTTCTATCAGT